TACATCATAAATACTAATTTAAATCTCATTTTCCTATTTGAAAGGTGACTTGACCAGTACTGGGCTGGAAGGGCCAACTTATGGTAACTTGAATGAGATTGTTAAGGGAGAAAGATGGGTGTTCAATTATTACTGAACTATTTAGATTAAAGGTTTATTCTTCTTGTTAATTAGTAGTAATTGTCTAATGGGTGGAGGTTGAGTGTCTACAAGGGTAGAACTAAGGGTGGTTTTAACAACAAATTAACGTCTACTTTTAAAACTTAGTGTTTTAGGGGTGACCACCATATCACAACTGGCTGCAGGTGATGAATGGTAGTAAGTGTTGGGACATTGTGAGCTAAAACACCTGAACTTTAATTGACCTTTTGTAACAGCTATCACATTATTCACTTGTGTTTTTGGATTATTTCTGGTATATGGAATATCCTCAACACTTTTGGGTTCTATTGCAACAGACATTTTTTCTTTTCAAAATTTTATCTTTTGTACTTTGTTGACAAATGGTATGGTTATATAGCTTATATAGTTCAAATTTGTTATAAGTAATGATTTTATTTTTGAATTTTAAAGTAAACATTTTGGTTTTGGTTATATACAAATTTCCATCATTGTTATATAAGTGCTGATTTTGTTGCCTATACACAAGTATTGTAATTTACAATGTTAGACCTGTTTTATTTACAAACATGTATATGTGTGTGAGTAGGTGCCAAAATGTACTGGCTTATCAATCATATTTAGGTTTTTTTAGTTTCATAAATTCCGTTAAACCTTTAAGTTTTGTGACATAACTATATTGTGTGACAAATAGCAGGTGTTGGACCAAAATATTCCTAAAAGTTTGATTCCTAACTGCATGAATACAGGTAGGAAGACCCTATAATACACACTTTAACACAGATCAGTCAACATGAGATTTCACTTTTACCTCCCCCTCGACGTGGATTCCTGTACGTGGTGAGGGACCTCCCAGAGAAGGTTCTGTATTTTCAGTTACTTCCTCTGGGATCTAAACACCCACCCACGTGTTTGCTGTGCGTGGCGACCCGTGAAGGGTAGGAGAGGATCCTGGTGGTTGAGTGGTGTCTGAGGCACTGCAACACACCACTTTGGCCTTGAATTCCTGTAGACGGGTGGCCTTGGGGTGGCCCCCCTAGGGTCAATCGGCTTGTCCACTGGGGCTAGGGTCAACTGAGTACCAGTGTTGGGCGTTCTCAACGGGTGTTGTGGACATCGTGTCTGATACTGGTGTTTGGGTATAGTGCTCACGAAACCCTGGCGTTGCTGCAGTGTCCTTGTTTGACATTGTAGTGCGTCCCCTTATAGGACTCCATGGCGGGTGGGGTCAGTGGGCACTGAATCTCTCTCTTTAATTATGGATCCCCCATTCCAAATAAAAAAAAATGTTAAAAATCTGCTTATTGGTAAATGACCACGCCTAGAAGACTCTGAACAGCAGTCTCCATCACCCAGTACACCTGTACCTTGCTTTTTAATCATACATTCACTATCAGATAAATCTTTAGGGCAAATGTCTCCTTTTTTTATTCAGAAGGGCTTAGAGGGGCTTGCTGGCTCTCCAAAGTCAGTTAAGAATCTACGTTCTGGAGACATCTTAGTAGAAACTTCCCATCCTAAGCACAGTGAACTTCTCTTGAGTTCAAAGGCCATTTGGGATATACCCATTGAGGTTACTCCCCACACTTCCTTGAATTCCTCACGAGGAGTTAACGTTGAGAGGGATTTGTAATCTATCCCCGAGACGGAGATCTTTGCTGTT